TTTTCTTACCAAATAGGCTTTTATCTCGCCTCTCTCCATATCCAAGTCGATAAATATGGAAAGGGAAGTAGATTTTCTCACCAAATAGGCTTTTATCTCGCCTCTCTCCATATCCAAGTCGATAAATATGGAAATTAAGTGTCAGCAGAGAGGAGAGACCACCTACCGAAGACTTGAGGAAATGCCCTTTGAGGCATTCTTGAAATACTTATAATGATTTTTATAATGATTATTTACATTCTTAAGGATGTTTTGCATGCTCCAAATTTGTGTTTCAAAACTTAATTTCAATATCTAGACTGATTGCCAATAGCCTTGCGCCCTAGTAGTATAATTATTTGCAAGGGGTGCAAGTTTCATCACGCTTGTAACATCATGTCATTAGTACCTGCCGGTCAATTTTTTTTTTTGAAGCCAGATTTGATTATATTGTCACAGATCTTGGGGATTGTGACTTTAGAGAGAGAATTTTGTAAATGAATCGACCAAGTCTTATATCAAAGAGCGAAGATACCACTAAAATTGTATGAGTTGATGTTAATGAAACCATATACAAAATTCATGATTGGGTTTGTTTCGATTGGTTGTTTGGACTGAATTGTTGACGATCTGTTGAAATTGAAATTGCCTATGATTTTCGTTTGGGATTTCACCAAGAGGAAGAAGAAAGATTGAGAAGGATATTATATGGTCGACCTGCTTTCAATGTATAATGGCTCGCTGTTTATCTCTCTTCTCCACACTATGCCTTTTTTATTTGGTTTGGGTGAAGTTACAATCTTATTCTCCTCTTTCTTTATTCAGTAAGTCTCTGCTTCTTTGACACCGTTGACTTCTTCTTGGTTCTTGTTGGTTACATAATTCTGTCCTACTCCTCCTCATTCACCTTCTCTTTCTTTAAGTTTTCCCCTTTTTGATTGTCATGGTCATATTTTCTTTTTAGGGTTTTTGTTCGGTCTGATCTTATGGCCGACAGTTTTTATTTATGTCATTTAAATTTAATTTGGGAAGAGGGTTTAAATTGAGGAGTCATTTAAAATATAAGTTTGAAAATTTTATAGAGATAAATACAAATCAAATTATATCCAAATCATATCAATAACGTCTATATATGCATATATGTAGAATATAAAATCTATAGGAAAAATTAAATGTATTATTTATAAGTTATAGCAATGCAGGTCCATGCATTGTTTGGGTATTAAATAGAAGTCACATTATTTATAAATAATTTTTTTAATAATTCCATGAATTTAAATTTATAGAGTACATGGCTTAAAGAATTTTGCGTAACATTCTCACGGGGTGCTATGTTCTATATCTTGGAATTTTCTAATGACCTTCAATAATGACATGCTAAAATGATAACATTATCATTTCTATCTCTATTAATAAATTTATAACCCATAAAGTAAAACTTTATCATTTCCTCTACTGTCAGGCCATATATACATATATATATATATATATATATATATAAATACTGAATTGTTCAGTCAGTTTCAACCAGAGACATGCAAATTGATAAAAAAAAAATTATGTCCAATATATAATTATTGGGCATGACGTAATTCTCACAATAATGCGTGACGTGATTCTCTCAATAATGACATTGTGCTCTTCCGGTCCTAAATATAAGACCTAATTATTGAGTTGATTTTGGTCCTAAATATAATATCTATTTTTATATTTGTCAATTTTTTTCTAAATTATCCTTATAGATACTTCCTCAACCATAATCAAGTAGAAAAGGGAAGGGAGATATTAAGAAAGATGATTATGGTGTTTTAGAAAAAATATGTCATATTTCTTATAATTAACTAACTTACCTAACTTCTTTAATCTAATCAAATTAGTTAAATAGGTCTTATATTAAGGACCGGAAGAGTACCAAATTTTTTAGGCAGTTTCAACCACATGCAAAATAATATCATTATTTGCCTTTATTTATCTATTTATTCAGTTCCAATAAAGAAACCACACTTTTAAGTTTTATCTTAGCTTTTTTTCCTCAAAATACATTTTCTTTCATCATCTTTTTCATTATTACTTTCTCTCATTTATTTCTTTATAAATAAGAGTATATTTAGAAAAAGTATATTTTTTGTGTATTTAATACTTTTTAATTAATATCAATAGTTTTCTTAAGTTAACGAGTTGATTTATTTAGATCTTATAATAAAAATAGAGGGACTGTATTAAACCGGGATGAATTATAGTGCTAGCTATTTCAATTTCAACTACCCATCGGCATTTGTGTTCAGTGTATATATCAGAATTGGGTGTCACGTAGTCGCTTGAGTAAACTTTATCAAGCAGTTTGGGCGATGAGCACCCCAAAATCATTAAATTTGGACTGTCCGGATCTATTTTGAATGATCTAAATTTAATTTTTATATTTTTATTTATTTAAAATAATTATTTTAATGGGTACATAATTTAAAATAAAAGTAATCTCATTTTTTCAAAAATAATTTTTTATTTAAAAACAATGAATTAAAAATTTTAAATTCAGATTGTTCAGATATGATCCGAACGATACAGATGAGCTTACGATGCTGATCAACTGGTTACACTTTATCGTCTCTCCTGTTTCGCAATATATCATCTACGGATGTTTTTAGCCAATTTCAATCACATGCAAAAAAAAAATAACACTGACACTATCATTTTTATTTATTTGTTCAATTCCAATCAGTAACCGACATTTTTATCTTAGCTTTCCCTTTCCGAAACATGCGTGGCCCGAACTCGAGTATTTTATTGTAACTCTATGAATTTGATTATTCTTTTTTATTTTTAATTTGGGAAAGAAGACTAATATCCTTTCGGCATAGTAGCATTAAAGCTTCTTTATAAGTGAAGGGAGTGGCTTCTTTCCACTGCTTTAATGGTCCGCTGCCATCCAAAGGCAATGGGGATTCAATGGCAAATGTTGTCTGGAAACGGTCCAGCGTAAAAGAGAGACCCATCCACACATTACAAAAGCAGAACTAATAAATATATATATATATATATATATTGGAGTTAAAAAAATTGGGACTCAAAACATTTTATATATATTCTTTTTATCTCTAAATATAGCATTTCTATCAAAATTAAAAATATTAAATAAAACCTCAGGTTCTTTTTTTTTTACGTTACAATTTTTTAAACAGGTTTAATGCTTTTTATAAGTTACACTTTAAAAATTTATGAATGTATTTTTTTTTCATTTTTACTTTAATTAGTTATATATCTCTCTATTTTTTTTCTTTCATTTATACTCATATCTTTTCCCCCTGTATTTGGAGCAAATTTGGGTGCTCATCATTCAGATCTAATTTGAATGTTTGAGATTTTTTTTAATTTATGTTTTTTAAAAAATTATTTTAATGTACAAAATCTAAAAATGAAAAAAATCTGGACCTTTTATATTTTTTTTTAAAAGTTAGAGTATAATTTTAATCCTCTAACTGTAAAACAGTTACAAAAAATGAGGATATTGAGGTCATGAATGTTGACAAAACATTCTTGAGTGCTAACATATTGTAATGTATGGCTGGGTCTCTCTCTTGCGCTGGACCGTTTCTACACAGCATTTGTCATTGAATTCCCATTGCCATATTACTCCCTCCTGTAAGTGAAAGTTTTAATTTTATTTATAACATTTGGCCATTAATTCTTGTCCTTATAATTCCAAAAAAATAATTGAGAAAGAAAGTGAAAAGAGAAAATCAAACCTCCTAAGAAGCAAATGGTCATGTTATTAATTACTATTCTTATTAAATTCTTATTAAAATATATCCAGATCAGGGAAGCATAATTTACTTGTTTTCTATGTGATGCCTCTTTACTTTTTTCCCACTACTTCACAGGATTTGGATCGGTGGGATTTTTAGAGTTCAAGTGTAACCTATTAAAAACAAGATCAATCTATTATAATTAAAAATAAATTAAAAACGCAAATATAATAAAAGTGTTATTTGTTAAAATTATATTGAACTCTGCATCTGCATGATATGAGATATATCCCTTTTCTACTTGGTCTTTCTACTTCCTGTTCTTTAAGATTTAATTTTGGCGAAGTTACAGTCTCATTTGCTATTTCTTTGGTGAGGCTCTACTTTCATATCATAAACTTGTTTTTATTCTTAATGTTTCCTTATATACCATCCAAGAAGTGCGCAAATGGTCATGCTTTTTAGAATTATCAACACATATTCTTTTCCATTAATCTATATACACCGTCCATTAATAGTTTTCGTAAAACTGTTATTAATGATTTTTTAAATTTCGTCTGTATCTATTTAGTCTTTTATTGGTGAACATAAAATTATGTTTTTCAACATAATTGATATATATGTGTGTGTGTGCGCTTTCTTAATATCAATGTCGTTTTGTTTTGTAAGAAATTCCGAGCTCTCCGAAGTTTGAATAATGAACCTACCCTCTGCACTCCGATCATCACGCCAAAACTATCCAATGAAATTATTTGACATAATTCAGACTCCTAATTAAAGTACTCCTTCGCACTAAAAATCAGCAACATAAGTCCAGAAATGGGAGCCACCACCATTTTCTTCGAAGTCTCTCTAGACAAATATCTTAAACTTTGTGATTGAGGCTAGTATTGAGTCCACCGTCCATATCTACTCCTTATCCTCACCCCAGCCTCGCTTTCGTTTACTTTTCAAAGTCTCTGAAAAAATACCAAAATAGTATGAGTTGATGTTAATGAAACCATATGTTAAATTCATGAATGGGTTCGTTTCGCTGATTGGCCAGAATTGTTGACGGTTTGTTGAAATTGACATTGCCTTTGATTTTCATTTGAGATTTCACTTACAGGAAGAAGGGGGATGAAGGAGGATGTATGGTTTGCTTGTCTTCTATATAATATGTCTGTTTGTTTTTCTCTCTTCTGCATATTCATCTCTCTAGTGCTCTGGGATTTGGTTTCGGTCGGAGTCGGAACCTCATTCTGCTATTTCTTTTGTAAGGCTCTGCTTCTTTGTATCATTAACTCCGTTTTGGTTGTTGTTGTTGGTTATATTTTTGCTCCTCCTACTCATCTTCGTTCACCTTCTCTTTCTTCATGTTTTTTTCCTTCTTTTGATGAGTGCCATCGTTATATTTTCTCCTTTGGGGGTCTTTGTTTGGTCTGATCTTCCATAACTATGGCCGACAGTTCTCATTTATGTCATTTAAATGTAACTTGGGAAGGGTTTAAATTCAGCAGTCATTTTTAAAAAAAAAAAGCATATGTTTGAAAAGTATATTAAATTGACGAGTACGGCAAGGATTAGAAATATACCTGAATTTTGCATTTCTATTATTTCTTATTCCCAAGATTGACTGCTCTTATGAAATTGTAGACGTGCACAGAAGGAAAAGAATTAAGACCTTTCTAGTTCCTAATTTATATTTCCAAGTCATTGTTTGGATAAATATTTATTACAAGAAGGAAAATAGAGTTGTGTTCAGATATATTTTACGACTGGTGGATATTAGAAAAGGGAAACATGATCCATTATGTTCAGGTCCATCTTCGTGAGTCCATTACCTTGAGCATATTTTCTACAACAACTTTGAATGCGATGGATGTCAGAATAGTTATAATATTATGTGTACGATGAATCTTTTAATTTTCATCTTGTTTTTGTAAAACTTAGAGAGATTACAACCGGAGATAATAGGGAAAAAGAGATATTTTGAGAACTTTGATACTCTTTTAGATTTACTCCTCTAGTTCTATTTATAAGTTACTTCCAACATATTTCATACAGATTGATAAAAACTTTAAACTTCGTTAACTCTCATTTAAAAATCAATAACTTTTTAACTTTGTCCCTATTTAATATACAATATACCACAACTGAACAAAGTCAACATAATAATAAATGAAGGGTAAAATTATATATTCAGATAAAAATCTTCTCTCTCTATCATATAAATAGGACCAAAAATTTTCTTCTTTCTCTTCTCCATCCTATAAATAGGATAAGAGGAGTATAATGTTTTCGGGGGCAAAATGGGAGAAGGGAAGCAAAGTGAAACAGTGAGTTTGAAAAGGACCTTCAAGGCAAGTGGTGCTATCTAGCTATACACAAGTTGCTAAGAGTCAACTTGCATAGATAGGACGTGTGGGTAGTTCTTCATTTTGCACTGAATTGAAAGAGAATAAGCAGGAAGCTTCGGTGATATATATATATATATATATATATATATATATTATCATCAATCTTCAACACTAGACTTGGTGCCTCCTAAAATCCGAAACCTCCAACCTCACTTCTCATTTTCTTCTAACCTTCCTCATTCTGCCCGTTTCTCTTCGCCGAGTAGCTGACAGAACAAGACACGTTGCCGTTTCCTCCGTGGTCGACCATAGCTCAAGCTTCATGAGAGTTGTTTTCAAATCCATGGGAAGCTAATTTCGTTTTCTTCCTGAAAGATGACTTGATGCCTTAGCTTATGTGAAAAAGAGAGGGAGCACTGCAGCTTGTACTCTACTTTATTAGTTCATGAAGATCTGTTCAGATTTTGTTGCTCTACTGTAGATACCTGGATCTAGCTCCTTCCTTGGGTGTTTGATAGTCCGTTTGGAACTCGCATTGCAGTTAAGTGTCTAAATGCTTCTGATTTACAGTATATTTATTCATGTTCAAGACTCGTTCAAATCTGATTTCATGAGTAAATTGATTCATTAAAGTTGTTCATTGTTCAATAACAAACAAGAAGTTTTAGTTGCTTTACTTTGAATGCTCACTGTAGTAGTGTCCAAATCTCTTTCGAATGGTGGCTATTACTAGTCAATATACATTTCTGGCCAATATAAATATAACGATTATGACGTGACTCTCATATTGACCATTACTAGTCAATATAAATAAGTCATATTAATACACAAGCTCCCCAGGTCTTTTTAATTTATAAAAACATCCTGGACAAGTGGACAGCTACTTTAATATTCTTCTCTCTCTCCTCAATTTATTTTTACGTGCATGTAAAATTACTTGCTCCATTTTCAAGTCATATTAAAGTAATATGAGTCTCTTTCACTTGGTGGTTACTTACAATCAGCTAGCAATCCGTTATATTTTGCGATTTTCCCCCAATTTGGTCTACTCCCAAGCTTTGGGTAGTTAAAAGAGAATATATGGTCTACTTGTCTTCTTATCTTTCACACCAATTATATTTTAGGATTTCCCCCCAATTTCTCCTAAAAATTAAATATATTATTTAAATTTTAATTATTCTCAAATAACTATTTTTATTTTATAATTTCAATTTTAATTATTCTGTAACAATTATCACATTATAAACATATGTAAATATGTATTGTTCAATAAAAATAATATCATTTTCAGTCATTTTATATCTAAACTTATTTTTTATTAATCATCCAAATAAGTTTCAACTTGTTAAACTGACTTTTTTTTTTTTTATAAATGTCAATCACATTATACTCACTTTTATCCATATAATGCCTCTCTGTTTGTCTCTCTTCTCCACACTCACCTCTGCTTCTTTAAGATTTGGTTTGAGCGAAGTTACAATCTCATTCTCCGATTTCTTTAATTTAGTAAGCCTGTGCTACTTTGACATCATTAACTTCTTAGTGGTTGTTGTTGGTTAGTTTTTCTCCTCCTTCTCCTCCTCATTCATCCACTCTTTTTTCTTCAAGTTTTCCTTCTTTTGGGAGTCAGGGTTATATTTTCTTTTTATGGGGTTCTTGTTTGGTCTGGTCTTCCATAACTACGACCTATAGTTCTCATTGACATCATTTAAATGTAAATTGGCAAGGGCTTAAATTCGGTAGTCATTTAAAAAAAAATTATTGACAAGTACAACGAGAGTAAAATTATACCCGAATTTACATATCTATTGTTTCTTTAGTTACGGAATTGACTACTTGAATGAGAGTAAAGTAGAGGTGTGCAGAAGGAAAAGAATTAAGATCAGCAGTTTTCTATCTGCCTTTCTTCTTCGTTTGCTCTGTCACGTTCTTGAATTCTCGATTCCCCACAGTGCTACTGTATTAGTGTTGTTTATACACTGGAGAATTGACTGCATTTTAACTTCAACTTCACACGCTTCAACTGATAAGTCCAAGAAAATAATAGTCTACAAAACAATAAATTATAAATACATAACTTATATTGAGTATTGTATTTTGACCTTTGCAGTATTCATGTATTCATTTATTCTGTTTGTGTGAAGGTCTTCTCTAAATGTGATTGATTTTCTCTCTTCAAGATTGGGAATTACGTGATAGCTGATCAAACCTTGCCGTTTATATATAACAACCCCTTCAATTAACTTGTTCATTGAAGTCAATCGTGCTCGAGATAATGAGTTCGTCCGAGAAACTGCGCAGTGATGCCATGGGAGGAAAGTGGTCAGAAGTGCTTGAAACATGCAAGCAAGAGAGGGCGCTTTGGACACACGAGATAACAGGGACAGGAGACACAGTATTACACATGGCTGTGTCTAGTGGGAAAGAGAAGGTGGTGGCAAACATGGTTAAATTCTTAGTTGAACAAGATGATGTGGAAACGTGGAACAGGAACACCATTCTTGGTGCTAAAAATGATAGAAAAACCACTCCTTTACACTTAGCAGCAATAGAGGGGTATGTTAGAATGTGCAGGAAGATCGGTGAAGCGGATCCCTCTTTAATTGCTCGCCGTAACATCGCCGGCGAGACACCCCTTTTCCTAGCGGCTCTCAATGGCCACAAAATAGCTTTTCTTTGGCTTCATTATCTGTATGTGGGAAGCCATGGTGTTTCTTCAACTGGCTTTGCTCACTGTATAAGGGACAACGAAGATACCATTCTTCATTGTGCAGTTGCAGAAGGGCATGCTGGTAAATCTAAATTGATATTCATTCTTTCATATATTGCTGATATACTTAGGATGAAGTACTACTAAGTGCAGATGTGGCAATCGAAATAGTTCACCTTTATAAAGATTATTTGAACGAGATGATGCAGCGCAATAAAAAAGGGTTGTCTCCACTTCATCTCCTAGCATCGAAACGTAGGGCTTTCAAAAGTACTACCCTCCGTGAACTATCAATCCTTGCTGGTCCAATTTATTGTAAGTTCTATATATGTCTGTGAAGGGAATGCAATGCGTACATGTGTGTGTCTGTAATTTCGAGCTTCAAAGGACATTCTTTTAATAATTATTATTATATATATACACATGCATATGGCTTGTTTGTTTGGAACTTTGTAGGGTTTTGGAAAGTTAATGAGAAGAATCAGGCCACGACGCTTGAAGAATTGCAAGCCATGAAAGACAAAAGTAAGTACGCTTCACGCGTTACTCCGGAGCTGTTTTCTTTTGTCCATAACAAATTTGCATTTATTTTAATTCGAATTAGCTTAAAGACCTGGCCTTGAACAATTAGAAACTATGATACTAGAAAGAGATGAAACATGGAAAAAAAATTAATCATTTAATCCCTGAAATTTTAATTCGAAGATAACTCAGTCCTCAAATTTTAGTTTGATGCAACTCGTCAGTGCTAACAAATTTTGTGACTAATTAATATTTAATTTGCAGAAAATTATAAAGGAAAAAGCATTTTGGTCAAATTTATGAGGTGCATCGGATTTACCCTCGGGGGGGTCCCCGCGGCATTCCTGCAGTTAACATGTTCTGACGCAGGTAGGGCACATGCAAGAGCGCACATTTAATTAAAATCATGCGCATATACATACACAGGAACGCTGATAAAATTTGTATTGATTGATTATTAATTCAAAATTACATGCATCATGATGCTCATCACTACAGTAAAATATACACCATTTAGATATAATTTTAATGGTTTACATTTAAAATTTTTAACCAATATTTTTTTAAATAGAAAATTATTTTTTAAAAATTTGCGGTTGAGTGATTATATTTATTTTGGATTATATACCTAGATTATGTATCTATTTAGAATTAAAATTCTGAATTGATAATTTTTAAATAATAAAATTATTTTTAAAAAAATGATTATTAAAATATTATCTTTATTTTAAATTCTATATTAATTCATTAAAACAAATATTTTTAGAAAATAAAAATAAATTTTGATCATTCAAATTAGATCCAAATGGTATGGATTTGTTCCATATATCTATCCCCATACTCAAATTTTGTGACGCATGTGTGCGCATGTTAAATTATTGATGATGATGATGATGCCCTCATCTATTACGATTCTGAACCTCCCAATGTACATTTTTATTTAATATTTGGGTTAAGGTACAAATATTAATAACTAGCTAAAGTACAAATAAACACGCATGGCGCCCATTTCTCTCAACATTATTTTAATTTTTTTTTTGAAATACGCGCTGCTTGAATTCCCAACACTCTCTCACTTGCATTTCTTCTCTGAAAGGTAAAAACTCCCCCCCCCCCCTCTCTCCGTCACTCCACAGTCTACACTTCTCTCTTCCCCACCTTACGCCACTCTCTCTTTTCCTCTTTCCTCCCCGGTGCTCATATTTTTCTTACTCCTTTTATGTTTTCCCAAATAAATTTTACGTTGATTTTTTTCATTCATAGTATTTTATTTACCTTTTCAGTTTAATTTAAAATATTAGAATTAAAAGCTATATATATTTTTAATTCTATTTTTTAATTTATAATATGTGCTATCGATTTTCTTCATAATATCTATATTGATTTAAATATGGAAATTATATATGAGATATTATCACACACAAAAATAAGGATATGCGTGATGGAAGAAATAAATTAGAGACATTATGAAAAAACCAATAGCATATATTTATATTTAATTCAAATTTTTTTCGGTTCATAACATATGTTCTTTTTTTTTCATTCGTAAAATCAAGGAAAATTTATTTGAGGAAACATACGAGAAGGAAGAAAAATATGACAGGTTGGGGAAGAGAAGCGAGGAGAGTGAGTGGCGTGAGGTGAGGGAAGAGAGATGTGGGGAGTGACGGAGAGATTGGGGGGAGAGTTTTAAGAGAAGTGATGCAGGTGAGAGAGTATCAAGGATTCAAGCAGTATGCATTTCAAAAAATATATTAAAATAATGGTGAGAGAAATGAGTGCCATGTAAATTGACATATAGGATAAAAACATTTCAGCTGTCATTATCTCATTGGTCAGAGCATGGATAAAGTAGCATTTTGAGTGTAGGTAAGAATTTCTCCAGGAATAGAGGGTCTCACCTAATATAGGTAAGACCCACCCAAAAAAAATATTCTTTTTATTTTTTCACATATTCTATTTTAATTATATACCTTTAAATAATACTATTTATTATCTTAATTATAAGACTTTGTTTGTCAAATATAAATAAGGTCTAATAATTAGAACTAAAGGTAGTAAAATTTTTCAAACATGTTGTTCCTACTAACCTATGGGTCTTCATGAATAGTCTTACTTAGATGGTGCATGCCGTTTTGTATACCCATAATGAAGAAGAGTCACACATGGTGGCATCAAATAATGACCGAACTCCTTCACCATGCTTCCAAAGAAGATATGTCACAAATAATATCAAGAACTGTTTCGGAGCAGCTTTCAGTTTCCCTGCAGACAAAAGAAGATAACGGTAAAAGGATTTTTGAAAATTCCAAGATGTTAAGTAATAAAGCATTGTTATTATTATACTTTTCATATATACCACTTGACGTTTCAGGAATCACAAACCATTTTTCACGCGCAATGATAAAATATATTGGGTATATTTTTATGCCAAATAAAATATCCTGCAATTATAAACTAATTTTGTGATTTGGACTGTGAATGGCATTATTGGTGGATAGAGCTGGAGTCAATGCCAACACCAGCGTCTGGTACATTAACAATTGACACACCCCTAATGATTGCTACGAAGAATGGGGCGACAGAAATGGTGAAGGCAATTTTTGAATTGTTTCCATCAACGATTAAAGATGTGAATGCCGAAGGAAAGAACATCTTTCTATTGGCCATAGAATATAGGCAAACAGATGTATACTGTTTTTTGTGCAAATGGAAATGGCTAAAGGAAAGTCTGTTCAGGCAAGTAGATAAGGAGGGAAACAATGCATGGCACTTGGCAGTGAGTCTCGAATTTGACCCTAATCGAGACATTGGGGAAGCATTCAACATGCAAAGCGAACAGCTAAGCTGGCTTCGTGTGGGTATCTAATGGATAAATTTAAAGCATATCACTATTTCAAATATTTGTTTGATATTAAAATATATAGACATGGTAAGTTGATGTTTGTATATATGGTGATGCAGTTAGTGAGGAGGTCACTCCCGCATGATATGTCTACAAGATACAATAGAAAAATGGAGACCCCGGGAGACATCTTAAGAAAGAGTCGCAAGGAACTTATGAAAATCCAACAAGAGTGGGTGGCAAAAACCTCACAAGCATGTTCTGTGGTGTCGACCCTTGTTGTATCAGCAGCCTTCGCCACACGTACCAATGTACCAGGTGCTTATGATGAGAAGGGCTATGCAATCCTTAGAAACAAGCCACAAGCATTCAAAATTTTTAAAGATTCTTCATTGGTGGCCCTCTTCTGCTCTCTCATTTCCACAATCTGCTTCTTGTCTATAGTTGCTTCTCCTTCTCATCGATATTTTAATGCTCGTACGTTCGTTCCTTCCCGATTTTACTGTGCTTTGTACTCCATGTTCGCCTCCATTGTTTGTTTGTGGATCTCTTTCTGTGCCGGTGATTTCTTCTTGCTCCATGACAACACTCAAAAATTGCACAAGGCTCTTCCAACTTATATTTTGTTCTCATCGGTCTTCATCCTTATTGTTGGCTCACAGCTCCCCATATTCCTTGATCACAAATTGTCTCGGCTGGGGCTCACTCCTGCCCCTAGAATCGCCCCCATTTCTCCCATTCAGTACCGAAGAACCGAGAACAAGGAAAACGGACCAGATCTGAACCACCAAAATTAAGCCCATCTCTTGTATTATTCAAAGAACACCTACCTTCATCACTTCCATTGGAACAGTTTTTGTGTGATTTGATGTTTTTATTTCTTTTCTATTTCTAACAATATGTGTTGGAGGCATACTCTCGCTCCATCACGTACTGTAGTTTGAGTTGTATTTTTTTTCAACCTCACTTATATTGCTTCCTCATTGGTGGCTTGTGGGGTTCTCATAATGATCATCTTGTCTTGTTCAGATGTATGACTTACCCCTATTGAGTAATTTGATTAATTGGCTCCATTAATTAAATAATTGGGATAATTATCACTTCTAAATGTTAAAATGTTTAAGCGCGAGCGGATTTTAGTTGATGTGGAAAGTTTCACATTGAATGACCCTGGCCTTAATAAATAACATATATGATCCACCAAGAAAAAGGAAGAAAATAAAGTTGCGACGGATTGAAACTAATTGTTCAAACAAAAGCTTAACAATTAGTAAAGGGCGTCCAATTTGCAAAGTAATTTACCTGTATCCTATTAATAAATATATAATTCATTATAAACTGTTATAAGTGAGGACACAAGAATGCCGGCAAAGTTATGTTCCATATTTTTCCTTTATAAAGGAATTATGTAGCTTTAAAATAAGTCCAAGAGCATCTCATTAGGATAAGTGTGTCCCAAGAAATAAATTTTCAAAGTCAAAGTAAAAGATCTGAATAAAATTGGAAAGAGAAACAGAGCAGTCTAACTAAAAAAATTAAATTATATCACATGGCACATGTGAAGCCCAGTTTCATATTTTTCCTCTAGAGATGACTCTTCGAGTTTTAAAAGGAGACAAGAATAAGCTCAATACTATATTTTTAATTAAGTATATGTTATGAATTTTAGAATTTAGCCTAAGATTCTGCAAAGCACCAAGAAACACGTGATTGAGCTTCAATTTTTTGAGGTCTTTCTTATCTCCAAGTAGCTTATAACAGAAAGCAAGATGTTGCATTATTGGCATCCAGTTACATAATTTTTTCTTGTAGCAGACATTTAGATTTTTCAACAAGTCATAGATCACATTAATCGGAACTCTATAAACAAGAGAACTAAATTTTCCTAGTTAGTGTGTATTGAATCTATTTTTAATACATATAACTGATGAGGCAGTTTTTAAGGTTTAATTTATCCAGACTAAGTTATAAATTTTTTATTTACCCAAAATAATGAAGAATACCACGCTGAAGTGAATGTGAAATTGAGCTTCAACTTCCAAGTTTTCTCAGTCGCTGAATAAGGATTCCTTAAATTAAAGTCTAGAGATTGATTTCGTGATTGCCCACACAAAACTATATAGGTGCAAATTTATGTCTAATTTAATATACCATGCGTTTGTATATAAACTAATAATAGACCGTTGACCACTCAGTAAAGAAGGAAGGATGATGGCCCAAAAAAAGTAAAGAAGCACTAACATTAAAATAATCATTTACAATAATTTTAAAATGGAACATTTTTTTCCTTTAAGACGCCATTTATCAACTTTTTAGAATTTGGAAAGCAGCCAAATGCACCTTCCAAGAAGGGCACAAATCGTCATGCTATTATTAACCAATCCAGCACCCGACATAAGAAGATTTAGAAAGTCAAAAAATACTTTTTTGGCTGAAAGTCAACAGTATTTTTTTTAAAAATGCAATGCTCATACGTAACTTATTTAAAAAATAAATCTATTCTAACTAAAATGAAACATCTGAATTATATTAAAAAATTATGAGTCATGTTTATATTAATATTTTGAGGCTGTTGTTCTGTTCTTGTCTGATTTTCATAAATTATAAATATAAACTTGAAGAGTTTAAATTTATTTGTCTTTTTTTTCACAAATATTGGTTAAAATTATATTAACTTGAATATAGGCTAGATTAAAAATATACCTGACCTATCATTCAAGTTCCATTTCTACTTACTCTTTGGTTACGACGTCAGGGAATTGAAGTAGAAGTGTACAAAAGGCAAATAATTAAGAATGTGTTTGGATAAATGGATTTAAATTTAAAATTTAAAATCTCATGTATTTAAAATGTTTTATTTAGTACTACCTTTTGTTCTTAATATAAGATCTCATTTAACTTTTGTCTTAGTCCTAAATATAAAATCTCAATCTACTTAGTTTCTCTTATTTATCTTTTTTTAAGGTAGTCCTTGTAATAATGGTAGTTGTGGCCAATATACTTGATTAGTAAAGATATTTTAGGAAAGACAACACCTATTTATTACAAATAACTAATTTAACTAGTTTTCTTAATCTACTCAAATTAGTCAACCAGCTATTATATTAAGGACCAGAGGCAGTATATATTTGAATAACAACACACTAATTTAGTTTCAATATGAGGATGTTTTAATGCACACCTTAAAATTTGATATTTTTGGTATTTCTGGCAGGGCACTTTAGTCTTTCATGATGGATTATTACATTGAGTTAATATTCTTTTATCTTGATTTTGGATGTTAAAAGGATTTTATTGAATTGATGTAAATATGTTGTTTTGTTTTGTTTTTATATTGGAAATATACTTTGTATAAAAACGCATCCTAATATGTTTAATGTGGTAATATATGTACAAAAATTATACCATTATATTACCTCATAATCCATGGGACCAAGTGATTCTGAAAAGATTTTAATGAGTTCATTTTTTGGGGGAAAAAATAACAAACGGAGTTATAAAATTTTAATAAAAATAAAAAAATTAATTAAAAATATTCAATCTTACTCTTTTAATTAAATTAAAATCTTCTCTCGTTTCCATCAAATTGTCTTAATAACCATTAGACTTACAGCTCTCACCCGTTACCTTGTTAATCTCTAGAATTTTATGTCATTTTAGTACAATTTTTTTAAGCTCTAGATACTTTTTGATGCATTTGTGCGTATATTGATATGTTAACTTCTAGAATTTCATATCATTTTAGCATAGTTTCTTTAAGCTTTAGATACTTTTTGATGCATTTATGCATGCATTGAATATTCAAAGATAATAAAATGTACATGATGTTTTTGGTTGCACACTAGTACTTAATTGTGAATATTTTTTGCTTTTATCCTTGCTATTTGTGAGCTTATAAATTCTGTCATTTTTGCAGGATATATTTTAACCTAAGAATTAAATGCTCCCAAAAGTAAAAGTTGATTTAGAAACACATTATAGAAATCAAAGAAGAAGTCTTGATCTTGCCTGCCATATATTTGGTCCATACAATGAAAACTTGTATATTGATTCCGTAATAACAGATCAAAAAGCACTGAACCTGTTGTGGCGCATTATTAGCAAACCAGCATTATTGCATATAACAGCATTTTTTTTATGGCGATGAATATGAGAAGTATCGTCGTCTGTTGACTTTTAAATCTCATCCATCACAGATCCATGTCCACATGTACATCTTTTGGGATTTGAAACCTTTAAGAATCTCAGAATCCTCCTTTTTTTCTTTTCTTATCTTTTTGAAATCTCTTCTTCATCCTTAAATCAAAAAATGGATAACTCAAATGTAATGTTTTATACAAAAGATATTATTAAAATATTTTATAAATTACTTTTTGTATACTATAGATGAGAACCGGGTGGACTATATTATAACAATTTATTTTTTTATATTTTAATAATATAATAATATTTTATAAGATATTACGTATGACCCACATAATTTTATAAATCAATAATGATATTATTGATTTCCAAATAAAACATGATACATACGTCAATGTTAGTCATAAGAAGCGTGGATATCATATAAAAGAAAGTAAGTTTAGGAGGTGTAGTGTGAGTTTATATATCTATGTCTATTTTATCTAATAAGTAGCCGAAGTTCAAAAAAGTAAGCACCTGCACAATTAAAAATATATAATAATTATTCCCTAGTAGTAATTCTTAAAATTCGTCAATATATACTAATATGGTAGTTGGATCTTGGGGAAATAACCAAAAAAAAAAAACCTGTTCAATTTAAAAACAACAAATAAGTCATGTTGACAACTCTTGTAATGGTTTTGACAAGTTAAAATCTATCAAAATAATCTATTTATCATTTTGAAATTCAATGAGTATTTTTTGGTCATTTTTTCTTGGATGCGATTGGATCTTCTTATTTTATAATCTATGATATATCCACATGAAAGCACATGTCATGGGCATGACGTATAGGAATATTATGATCCTAGCAGTGTTATAGTCGATGGAGTCACATACTCAAATGTTATCTAACAATTTTAATATTTATTCTCTGACTTCAAATTGTATTATACTAATAGATATTTTAGTCAAAATCCCACCTATAGTACAGACTGTAGATTATGGTTTGAAATTAGTATTATTTGCATTCAGTGAATATTCTTTTTTTCTATATAATTTGATTTCATATAGGCGGCCATTAATTTAAATTATATAGCCATTAAATGGTAATTAATTTCGACTGATTTTTTCTTTTGGCCAATGAGGAGAGCTCAAACGTGAACATCATCCTTGGGGCTGAGAATGACCGAAAGAACACTCCTCTGCACATAGCAGCTTCAATGGGGAAAGTTGAAATATGTAAGAAGTTATGTCGCGCAAATCCCTCTTTAACTGCTAGACGTAACATCGTCGGCGAGACATCGCTCTTTCAGGCGGCTCTCTGTGGCCAGAAAGAAGATTTTCTTTCGCTTCATTACCAGTATATGTCTCACCCTGGAGTTTCTTCAACCGACTTTGGTCACTGTATAAGGAAAAATGGCGATACCATTCCTCATTGTGCAATTGCAGAAGGGCATTTTGGTAAATCTAAACTGTAACATTCATTCTCTCTCTCACACACACATATATATAATATACTTATGAGGTACTACTATAAATGCAGATGTGGCAATCGAAATAGTTCACCTTTATAAAGATCATTTGAAAGGAATGGTGATTCACAATAAGGAAGGGTTGTCTCCACTTCACTTCCTGGCAGCAAATCGTTCAGGTTGAGCCAATTTATTGTAAGTTCTGTTTCTCTTTGAAAGGGATCCTTGCCTTTCTTCTGACGCTTTTTCAAGCTTCCTATAACAACATTTAAAAGTATGATTTTATAATGTTGAATATGATGAGCGGTGTCCTCTTCTTCCTTATGGGGAAAGGGAGGGTGCATATATGGGGTTAAAAAAAAAAGTTCGTTTAATGCATAAACACAATTTTTATTTCATATTTGAAATTTTTATTTCGTATTTAATATTTTAATCTGAGCTTGTTAAAGTTGAATATACATACGTGTTTTTTTTTGTGTAATTAA